AGAAACAAAAATTCCTTTTTTATGCTAACTACAGTTGCTCTATTATACTGATTTGGAGAAGGATAAGAATTATTTATCATTGCACAAGTAAACAATTAAACAACAGACAGCCACTTTAAGGCATAACATTGTTGAACAATAATCTTTGGCTTATAGCCACTCATTAGCGGCTGACTTATGCACTGTGAAGTGCAACTCATATCTCCACAGCTAAGGTTCATTAAATCCAGATATGATTCTGAGTAACGCACTCTAATCTAATGACCCCTGATAATTGAAATATGTAAATATAAATCTACATTTCAACAATAAAATTATTACAGTAATCAATTATCTAAATTAATTGCTGAGTCATATTCTTCATTCCTTGCCACAATTACACATAAAATAAGTTGGAATTACTTTGGCATATCATTAAAGAATGAGATACAGGAAAATATTTTGAAATTAAGTTTAAACCATGTCAGAATGTCAGACTGCAATTACAAATTGTTACCTTCCCTGTAAAGGTAAACCGTTTTCTTAATTAAACCAATCACAGGCCCCTAAAATGACTACATGCAGTAAACCAATTGACGTTCGGCGTCAGGCTTCAGGAGACGAAATCAACCATAAAGAAAGGGTCTTTAAAACGTTTATAAACATTGAAACAGTAGAACAAGAAGCAACAATAACAAAGGGAAGCACAAACAGATAATTGGTTAACAAACTAAAACACCCTTTTATGGTGTGATGATGACAAAAGTAGTACAATACTGCTGGACCACCAACCATTAAAGAGGTAGGCATAGTAGGTTCAAAAGTACATATGTACTTAACCCTGTATACAAGAGTGCAGCATGAAATCACATTAAGATAGTTTTTGTAACAAATGAATTGTTTGAGTATTTTTTATTTTATTTTTTGAAAACAAGGCAGTGTAAGTGAGATTTGTTTGAATCTAATAGAGCCAAAATACAAAAATCTACCACTAAGTCCAAATCAATCAGGTCCATAGCAGAAAACTACTGAATATTTGCTCCTTCGTCAGCTTTGGTTGAACACGCCTCCAACTATCACATACATCACATAAGCCTTAAAGTTCATTCATTACAAAAAAAAAAGGGGGTATACCAAAATTTGCGGAAATGTGTTAACAAGCCTACACAATTGAAAAAGGAGGAAAAGACAAAAAATTGAAGAAACTAGGAAATAAACAATTTGTCTGAAGACCAAAATTTTGGCCTTGTCTTTAAAGAACTGACAGAGCAGTAGGAAGAAGTTTACTGAGTTTACAATATGGCAAGTCACACTACTCTGTAGGACCTAATTGGTACACAACAAATGGCGTCTGAGAAAAAAATCACGTATAAGAAACATAACTTCTTTTTCCTATAAAATAAAATCACAATTTCTTGTCATTCTATATTAGCAACTTGAAAACAGATCACTTTAAGAATTATGCATCTTACGATGGATGGAATCATCCAACAAATGAAAACAACTTCTCATTTGAATCACCAGTTACACCATATTTCATAGCAATGGGGGAAACATTGAAAGTGAATTTTAAACAAAGATTATATCAACTAGTTACTTCAAAAAACATACGTCATCCACAAATCCAAAAAATTTTAATACTTAACAATTTTCTGATGTCATTACCAAGAAAATAACAATTATAAAGTTGTACGTATAAATTGACTCCTAAAGAATTTATGTACAGAAGAACAAATTAAGTCAAGCTATATAAATATGTAATATTTACAGAATACATAAATTTATACAAATTCACACACATATACATTTTGTGCTCACTAGCAGTCATATACCTACATATACTCATGCATACATGGTACAGATAAAAAACACATGTAGTACTTCTACAACATTTATCACATAATGCTATACTTACTATTTAAAAAAGCCGTTTCTACTACTCAGAGGCTTGATTAGGAACTACATATTGCATTGTCAAGTATTACTTGATGACAGCTGCTTGTAAAGAAGTGACCATCTATGTCAAATAATTTGTATGATTTTAGTTAGTCAGAAAGGAGTGAAATTACATTTGATACTACCAAGTAGAGAGTCAAATACTTAATAGCCAAGCAGGCAGTCCAACAAAAATCTAAATTTGATAGAACACACAAAAAAAAGTATTACAGAAACAAAAATGGAAAAAAACGGACATATACAAACACTCACAATATGACACACATCTGATATGACTAGACTATAAAGAGGAACATCACAGCTCAGGCAGAATTCCTCACTTGAGGTGCTCAGAATTAAAAATGCAAATACATAACCATAGTATATCTTGTGTTGGTATGGATGTAGGTTGTAACAGGGAGATGAATAAAAGCTATAATAAGTCATTATTAAAGTATGGGCCCATATAAAATACCTCAATATTGATTACTGACAACAGACAGAGTTGACTGAACAGCTTGGTAAGGGCGTCACATGAAATGTGAACATTAAAAATATTATGCTCCTCCGTCAGGTACAAAGGTTCATCAACACAACTAACATCTTCTTAATGATAATATTCCCAGTGATTTTATCTGGAATATACAAATCGAGAAACAATTTTTTTCTTTTTCATATATGTCAGGAAGGGTAAATATTTAACAAAGTAATGATGTTTAACGCTGACTTTTACGCAGCCTAGTGGAATGAGCTGGAGAATCAGAAACAGATGACTCTGTAGTTAAACCTCCAACAGGTCTTGTGGTATTCTGGCTTGGAGAGTCTGGATTTCTTTTGGAGGAGGATAAATGGGTTTTCGTTCTTGGGTGAGGTTTGGGTGAATCAATGGACTCATCCTTCAAAACACCACAGATTAGATTTGATTCTTCAGATTTCATCTGAATTTTAGGTTTCCGCAAGTCTGAAACTTTGTCCAGCTCGGTCATGGCTTCTTGAATGGCATTCTCCAATTGTGTATTCATTTTCCGACCTCTGAAAACCAGCAAATAAAAAAACATAATTATGTGTTCAAAAAATGTAAACAAATAAGGAATGGTCATCTTACAAATACTTTAAAAGAAAGTTGCAATAATTAGTGGATCAAATACCAAAATAAACTACGACTTGGTATTTTTAAAAAACAAAACAAGCCATTCCAAATTCATTCACACAACCTCACTACCTACTACCGATCACTACAACCAATACATGAAACAATATACTATAAAATAAAGGAAAAGAATTTACTAAGCAAAACAGGATAAGATAAAAACTTTAGAAAAAGTAGAGTATTATCAAACTCAAGTTGATGCACCAAACCCCAACAAATGTTTTACAGCTGTTGCTATCCATCAAAATCAGTGATAGGGTTCTTATGTAATCTCATAAGGAAATTAAAAGATAAATGAATGAAAAAGTACAAAAACAACCAAAGCATGCGTGACAGGTTAAATATGTTAATTTCTCTTCATCAAGATTTTTTTATTAAAAAAAAAAAAAGAATTATTGAGTCATCACCATAAACCCAAAAAGGAATGTGGTTTTAAGGGCCTGTAGATAGAAACTGCCCTACAAGGGGACCAAACATAATGTTGACAAAGGGACACACTAGATTTGGTACACATTCTTTAAAAGTTGTAGTATATCTTTTAAAATGACTTGTTTGAAAATGTAAAGTTAACTTACTGACTCCAGCTAATGAACCAATTATGATTGAGCTGTTCTATTCCGTCCTGAATCTCCCCTAGCTTCTGCCATTGCCTACCCACTTCAACTCACTTCCGAAATTTCTTGATGGCTCGGTGGTGGGCCTCCAAACCCTCCGACAGCGACTTGAGGCTTTCTCTGGAAACGAGCGAGATGGAGCGGTCACCACCACCACCACCGCAACCATTGCCACTGAACCAGCGGACCCAAACATGAGTCGAGGGCGTGGCCGTTTTCGAGGCCGACGAGGCCGAGGCTGAAGGGGGAGGGCCCGAAGGGTTTGCGACCACCTGGCCTGGCCACGCGGGGAAGCCCCTTGCGGGGCCCCACACGAGATCACCTTCAGCCAGAGCCAGGGGCGGGGACGGAGCGGGATCATCTTCCCCCACACTGCTCTCAGCTGGTATGGCATGAAAAATGTCGGGAGGGTCATAGGTATACTCTCTACATAGAGATTGAGTTATAAGGTCAAACAACTGATGAATGGAATGGATGATGTGTGATGTGCGGTGCAGTCTGTTGTAGTTAAGGTATGAAATGACAAAATAAAGAGGACACTCGTAACGAAGAAAAATTGTTGACAGAGTATGGAAGATCTTAGCGGCCAAATAACTGATGCAGTTAAAAGGAGAATTAAATTTTCAAACTAAATAAGAATGTGAAAAAAACCTCATGCATAAATTAATGAGAATTGTCCATGCACTTACGACATAGCTTACACTACCAATTTAAAAGCTGCAAGTAACAGATATAATAGTTTTAAGTAGCAAATTGTTTCAGATAAAAAGTTTGGAATAAATTGATGAATCAAAAATAATAAGTAGCTTTAGAAATTTAAAAAAAAAAAGAAACAGAAAAGAAGGGAAAGCAATAACATTTCATGCAAACAATAACATCTGAACATAAACAATAAAAATCATTGCATACTATCACTAGTGCTGGTAATACTAACAAATTTGTGATCAAAATGCTTCCTTTGAAAATAGCATTGTAAATGACAGAGATCATTCATCTACCAAGGTGATGATGAACATGAAGACAATGATCATCATGAAGCAGAAATGAGAAAACTAGTGCAACTTGGAACTTACCATTGCCGAGATCATCTGATTTCCTGAGCTGCTGATTGTGATGATTCAATTGAGCATGGGTTTTAAAATGACCACCTGTCCCATATGAATCATCCCCAACGGAATGCTTTCTTTTAAGGGAATTTCGGTTAAGTCCAATATCTCCGTACGTGAACATGACTTGCTGGTGTTGAACTTGTAGATGGGGTTGGTTTTGATTTGAAGTGAGCACTGTGCTGGACGATTCAACAAAAGCATCACTGCTGATTAATTTGGAATCACAAGAATAACTATCAGGTCCAGAGGGAGGAGAGCCACTACTACTGTGGGGCTTTTCTTTCTCAGAGGAGTTCCAATCCATATCATTGGGTTCTGGTTCTGCATTACTGCTTGATACACAATGCACCATAGCCAGGGATGAAGGGGCTGAGGTCTGAAAGAAATCAAAATCAGTTAAAAGAGGAAACAAAATATTTTAACAGCTCACAGTTCTTTCTCAACACTAACCTGTTGCTGACGATGAGAACTAGCAGGAGAAGTTGCAGGGGATGCTGCCGATGACTGAGACGAGCCAAAATTGACATCATCAACAGAAGATGTGGTGGTATCAGCAGTTGGGCTGTGCTGAGGTGTAGTACCACCACCTGCTACTGGACTCAAAGTAGTTGTGTCTGGAGGACTTGCAGAGGCAGAACTAGCTGTTCCGGCAGAAGTGATAGATGTTGTTGGTGAGGCAACAACCTGCAAAAAATCATTATTTTATTAAAAGTGAAAACATTAAAAAAAGGAAACCTTAAGTAAAAAGTACTTTCAAATTAAGCTGAAAGATTTAAAAGCGAATTTTTAGGAAGCAAGCTTAAGAATTGAGAGCTGGATTTACAGAAGAAAACAGAAAATCACTGAGAATGTTTAAAAGCAGACGATGATAGCGTGAAACAGGCTAAACTGGACCACCTTCTTGTCGGTACTGGATGACTGCTGATGTGCTTTGTTGGTGACTATGATTAGCTAGACAGTTTTAGCTATTGATTCGGCTATTGATTACCCCCCGGTGGTCCAAATTAGCTTGTTTCACAGTACCCAGAAAACATGTTTAAAAATTAAGATGTTCAATAAAAAATATTACAAGTTGATTTTATTCTTGGCAGCAGCGCTGTTAGCATGGCTTTATAAAGCTAATGCAATATTGGTCTGTGCCAGCACACATCATGAGCTCCACAAGGTGCAAAACAAATAACCATTACACATTTGTCATTTGTTCGGCACCTCACTTTCTTCTTTTGTTGAGCTGATGCTGGTGTGCCAGCATTGCCTTCGCCACCTCATCAAGCCCAAAAATTTTTTTACTCGGAAGGCTGATTGGATCATTTTATAATGCGGATGGATGTATCAAGAAAGGCCTCTTACATGCACAATCTACTATCACAAAGGACTATGTGGACTATGGACTATTAATTAAGCACTGAAGCGTGTGTGTGTGCGCACAAGCAAGGCGCACCCACCTCCCGACAGCTTGAACCCCCAGACAGGTTATTGGTGGTGATGATAGCGGTGGAGGAGGAAGAGGAAGAGATAGACGTGGTAGTGATGGACGTGGTTGTGGTGGCGGTAGATACAATTTGCCGTTGCAGTGCTTGTTGCACTGACAATGGTTGCTTGATAGACAATGTGCTTACAACTCCCACCTTGCTGCCTAAGCTGTTGTTGGTGCTTCCACTGCTACCAACACTTATAGGCAAACCCTTGCGCATATTGTTGGTGATATTGCTGTTTGGATGCTGCTGAAGTGCTTGCAGCTGTGCTTGGTTGTGTTTCTGGAAGTACACACCATGCAATAATAAAATCTCATTCGCATAGAGAAAAACATTTCACACATGCAAAACACCGAGTCAGAACAAAAACAATATGCTAGGGTTCTGTTCATCTTTTTTTCTGGTCTTGTCTTTTCACAAACCAAGTTGCTGACTGGCTTTGCCCACTTTTGAAGTTACACTGTAGCGCATGCATAAATGCAGGCGGGTTGACTATTTACTCTCGGGGGCTTCGGGGGCACTTACACAATAGATAAACCCACCTACATATCTGCATGTGGCAGAGTTTAATTACCAAAGTGGGCAGGCCACATCAAGTGACTGTTCCTGGACCTTAATTCATTTAATCATGAAAAATTATTTCCCTCACACACACACACAGTTAGGTGAACCCCACCC